AACATCAAATGAAGAGATAAAGAACTCAGCCAAGCACCAAATGGAGTGAGAAAACTGACAGAGAATGGAGAGCGAGGAGAGATTCATGCTGAGGTCCCCTACCAGCTAACGCAGCGTGGATCCACCATCTTGGACCCCTATCGGAGACCAGCAAACAGGGGGTACGAGAAAGCAGCTTCATGGAGCTTCCAGCAGGAGCCAAAACAACCGGTAATTTGCAATATATGCTTTCCCACCGCCCCCCCTTCTTCATCCCCACTCAGCCTCCTCTGCTTCCCATGGACACAGTCTCTTGTCCGAGAAACACCAGCTGCTTGGATTCCACCAGCCCACACTAGCTGGCTCTCTGAGTGCTATTTGTTGGCTGCTGGTGTTGCTTTTTTTTCTGCTTGTTTTGATTTCTTCCTTACCTATCACCACCTCCCCCTCCTTTCGCTCAAATACCTGGCTCCGTGCGCCATCTTTGCTTCTTCCTGAGGGGCTGTGGAGCTCCGTTTGAGTGTGAAGCTGCTTCCCAGTCTGGGCTGCCGCGCTGGTGGGATCCCGGGGCTTTTGTTCATTAGTTTCTTTTGAATTGATTGTTTGTTTTCTTTTCCTTTTCTTGAGTTGGGAGCCCTTTTTGGCCAGGCGGTGCTGTGTGGCAAAGAGACTACCCCTTTGGCTTGCACAGACATGCAGAGGGATCCCTGAGGGCATTTCTTTTTTCGTTTTTATTTTTTTTGTTGTTTTTTTGGGGGATTTTCTTGTTATTTTTTTTTTAATTTGTTTTGTTTTCTTTTCCTTATTTTTCCCTTTTTGTCTTTCTTTGTTACTCAGTTTCTCGTCTCTCTATATCCTCCTTCTCTTTCTGTACCCTGAATACCTGGCATTGTATACCTCTACGCCTTCTAGCCAGGGCTGTACTGCAACACCTGAGAGCGACTTCCCCAGACCTCATAGCTGCACTGGTGGGATCACTGGGAACTTTGTGGTTCTTTAACCTTTCCGATTTTAATTTATTCATTCTTTTCTTTTCTTTTCTTCCTCTTCCCCTTTCTGTTTTTCTCCATTTCATTGTCTCTCATCTCTCCATTCCAATGGCAGGCTCCCCTAGCATTCTTTTTTGTTTGTTTGTATGTTTTTGGCTCATGTTCCTCTCTCCTCTCTCCCATATCCACCTTAGCTCCACACATAACAAACTCCCACCTGCACTGTGCGCTTAACATCACACCACCAAGCAGCACAGGCACGGCTTACTGGAACCTGCCCTGCACTGATTACTGACCCGCCCTGGTGGCTGTAGTAAGTGCCACAAACAACCCGTCCCAGTAACTCCTCTTCAGCTAG